ACAAAATAAGCCCCACCCTGGGGACCAAGAGAGTGTTTTGTTTATTCCAGGGAAGCTGACTCTGCATAGAAAAGTGCATGGGGGCGGGGGCTGTGATGCATGGATGGCTCACGTGGAGCTGCTGGGCTCCACAAGAGCCCAGGGCTGGGCTTCACATCCTTTTATTCCTTTAGTGAGTGTTTATGAATGCCAGCAACATGCCGGGCAGTGGGCTGACGTTAGAAACATCAGGAGCAAGAAGATGCTGACCTTTCCTTGGGCAACGGCTGTTCCCATACACTGGACTTGGGTTTGGGGTGCCCACCTGATTAGCTTGCTTAGAGACAGCTGGAACAGCAGCAGCCACTCTTGGGTGACAGAAATGCCCATCATTTTCTTACACCTGCAACATACCAGGCATAGTACAGGCACCAGGACCCATCACTAGCGTCTTTGGTTCGATGGTCAGAAATCTCTGTGGTGCCAGCAGGCTGACACCAGACACCTGACGTTAGAGTTCAACTCCTGTGGACACAAGTGACCAAGAATGGCCCCCTCACCCATTCAAAGGGGAGGAATCTCATTCGTTTTTTGGGATCTTGCTTTTAACAGAGTGGAGAGAGAACAGTACATTAGTTAGCTCAGAAGGAGAGGCCTGTGGGCAGGGATATGGGGTTTCTCTGCCTGTCAATGCCCCGCAGAGGAGCCAACCTGAGTCGTCAGGCATGACTAAGGCCAGGAGGATTGTGCGGTGTTTAAGGCCGGCATGAGGGTACATACTGAATTCCAGCCCCACAAACACTGAGAGATTCTGTCAACACCAACAAAAGTAAATGTGCACTCTGGATGAGGAGGACCCTGAGGCCACATCCCAGTGGTCAGCCAGAAGAAACTGTGTGAAGAATCATGATACTGAGGGAGGGACCGATGCTCTCTTCCCTTCCCTTGGGGTGTCAGGAGTCAGTTAGGAATGGACAGCACCAGAGGATCCGCTAGGTGGAGGCATGAAGACTGAATGATGGGACCACAGGGGTAGGGGTGGCTTGGGCTCTAACCTAGTCAGCCCCCCCCCCCAGACCCCAGGGCTCTAGCCTCGTCCCCTCTCCACAGGCTCCACCTCCCCAGCAGCTGCGGCTGGTCAAGTACCATGTAGGAATTATAGACCACACATCTCCTTCTCATAGATGGGTCTTCCTGGGGCTCCAGGCCCAGGGAGGGTGGGGTTCTGTATGCCACAAGACTCAGGAGCCCCCATGGCACCCCAAACCTTCTTCCCATCTCACACTAGAGCAATCAGAATCCAGCTCAGCATCCCGGCAAAAGTGAAGGCATTCTAAAGAGATACTCGTGCCCCTTCCTTTGACTACTTGTGAGACAGTGGACCCCAAAATATTGGGGCTTCCCCAGTTGCTCGGAGAAGGAAAGGCTGAAATCCTGGTGCCAACCAGAAGGGGATCTTGTCCCCTAGAAAGAGGTTTCAGACCATCTGAGGATTTACCAGACCATCTTACGGGGCCAAGACAATACGGGGACAGTGGTGAGCAGGGCCACACCTGGGTTGTCGAGCTCTGACCAGGGCAGCTTGGCTCTGCACACCTCTTGCCCTCTATTTAAATCTAAACCTCACATCAGGACCCCCAAAAACAAACTTAGAGGTCACTGGATCCCTTGATTTGTTCTTCCTAATGAATAAGACTGTCATTTTTACTATTTGTTTCCTTAATTGGCCTTTTGAGGACAGAGGCTGAACCTAGCTTGTTACGGCTTCCAGGGGCCCAGGTTCTGACCCTGACAACTTCAGCAACAACCCTATCTATGAAGAGCCAACCCCAGAGATGTAAGGGAGAGAGCTGCAGACCCAGCCTAGCTTCTAGCCTGCGTCTTCCCTAAGCCCACCCATGGCTGGCAGCTCCCCCAGGGAGGTCTTCTCCTTCCCTGGTACTCAGGGCAGCAGGCAGCTGGAAACCAGATGCCCCGGGGTGCGGAGGAGCTGCAGCCCCCAGGGTGTGAGGCTCCCCCGCCACATGTGGCCACAGCAGCCAGGAGTATGTCTGACCCAGTCCTGGGCACCAGGAACTTGGCTTCTTTGCATTGTCCTCTTTGCCTGGCTCTGCTCCCATCCTTGCTGCCTGGGCTTCAGCTCCCTGCCTGCTTCTCTGCCTCCTGCTCAACTGTCTCATTTCAAGGGAAATTCCTACAGGGGCCAGGAAGATGGTAGGACAGAGAACCTAGCCAGTGCATGAGGTCCCAGGAGTATATTTGGGAAGATGCCCAAGGAGAGGACTCTAAGTCTGCAAAGGCCTTAGAAGCAAGCTGTGAATGCCCAGTGAACCATGGTGATGGGATACCAAAACCCCTACTTGCACCCAGTGAGGTCAGGAAGGGTGACTTGCGATGGGTACCGGCTGGCACATGAAGAGCTACCAGCACCAGCATAACCCACTATGTCTTACCAGGGCTCTGAGACACAGCACCCTTCCAGGCTCTGAGGCCTCACCCTGCACACAGGCCTGTTCCTCCCCAAGCCAAACAGGCCCGCAGGGACTCGGCATGTCCCTTCCTGCTTGGGGAGGAGGGAAAGAGGATCCACTTCTGAAGGCCTCCAGGATTGCAGCCTCCCAACAGAGGTCCTGCCAGGGCAAGGACCTAGGGCAGGGCCCTGAGAGGCAGAGCCAGAGCAGACACGTGTGGAGTTCTCCGGCTTTCAGGAAACTGCTCTCTGGAGAAGCCAGAATGTCTCTTGCACCTCATGAATGAGTCAGGGAGGTGACAGAGTCCTGTCCAAACAGCCACCGAGGGCCACTTGGCAGTAGTGGAAGGCGGATTTCCAAGGACGAGAACCAGAGAAAACAGCAGTTCTCTGGAGCCTACCACCCCTCTCACCATACTCCAGACTCTGGGTCCTTCAAGGCCAGAGCCCAGGCTGTTCCCAGTCTTTCCCTCCAGGGAGGGTGGTGGCCTGTCAGAAGCAGCAGCCTGCAGGGGACATTTGCCTGCCCTTCCAGCCTCACACTGTCACTTCACCCTCTCCTTAACCCGAGAGCCTCAGCCACTCCCAGACCTAGGAACTATGGCCGCAAAAGGACCTGACCCCTGGGGATAAGAAACAAATGGGCAAGGGTGCCCTGAGGCAGGACCTGTAGTTTCTACGAAATTCTTTTCATCTTTGTTTTGATGGGTGCCGTTCAATGCCAGAATATTTGGTTTATGAGTCATGCTAATTACGGGGGGGGGGCGGGGGAGGCAGGCACCAGGAAGAACAACAGAAAGGAGTGTGTTCAGGAAAAAGTAATGCTATGCTGGTTGTTCTGAATACAGAGGTTACAGCCCCGACGAGCAGTGAACCCCTTCATGCTCCAGGACAGACTTGCTGGAGGGGCCTACCCCAGGCCTGCTGGGCTAGCCTGCTCTCCATGGACAGCAGAACAGAGGATGAGAGATGGAGGGGGTATTATATATGTGCGCATTTTTAGGAGGCTCAGCATCTCCTGCCTGGGCAGAGAATATCAAGTTGAGTCTTGGGGAGTGAAGACACCATTTAGCTAGGATGCTTCCTGCGTTGGCTGCAGGGCCTCGGAGAGGGCTGCCAGGCACACACAGGAGCGGTGGGTCCCTTGTTCTCAGCCCTCTGCTTCCCTCTGCAGGTTTCCCTTCTCGCTAGTGAGCACCGGTGCAGGCCTGGTAGAGACTGTACATCTTCTGCCACACTACGGGGGTCACACTATGAGAAACAGAGCCCGGCGTCACTCACTCCCAGGGGGGACCCAGTGACGTTTCTCAGTTTTCTTTCTCTGTTGTTTTTCTTTTTTTACTTTGAGGTAAGACCTCACACTATAGCCTGGGCTGGCGGAGAACTCGTCAGCTGGTTATCTGGCTCAGGACGGCCTCAGACTCACGGCAGTGTTCCCGCCTCACGGTCTTGAGCCAACATGCTCAGTGAAAATCAAATTTGGTATTTGGTTGTTATTGTTTCCATTACCAGAGATGCAACCCGAGCCTTCCACGGCACTACACCACGCTACTGAGATACATACACAGCACTACACCACGCTACTGAGATACATCCCAAATCCAAAGCTGGAGAAGCATGTCCGTGGTCTCTGTTCCAAAGAACAGGGCAACCAGGACAGATAGAAATCAGAGAGGTGCCCCCAAATTCTGCTAGACAAGGCCAGGCCAGAAAGTAACAAAAATAGGAAGGGAGGAGGTTCCCTAAAGAAGTCCAGCTCTCCAGGGCAGAGAGCAGCCGGGGTGGGCCCAGAGATAGACAGGGTAGGGCTCAGGTTAACCAGCAAGGATGCCATTTACACCTGTAGGGATGCCCAGGCATCTGAGCAGTAGGTAGGCAAGGGCTGTGCAAAGGTCCCGGGGCATCTTAGAGACTGTAGCCCTCGCTCTGGCCACTGTCAGCACCATAGCTTTACTTCGCAGGAAGGTTTGAGGAGAAGGGATATTTGTTTTTTCCTGCCCAGGCTGGATGCCATCCAGGAACAGCAAGCTTGTTAGAAGAGGGGGCCAAAGTCCACACTTCCTGTCAGTGTCGGGGCTCCAGCTGACCACTGACAGATGGGCTAGACCTGGACCTCAGATAGCCCAGGTGATACGGCAGGGACAGAGTGACTCCAGGTGCAACAGAAATACACTTTCTCCTTCCACGCCCTCTAAAAACCACCCGGAGAAAAAAAGAGAGACACCCCACACAACAATGAGAGAAGGTGCAGTTGGTCCTGTCAGCATCCTATCGCCAAGGAGCCCGCCTCCCGCACGCTCCAGGGAGTCCCAGCGGCTGCCTCGGAAGAGTCAATCTGTGCAGGGGGAGTTAGCAAGAACAGCACAATGTTGTCCCCCCCAAACTTCTGCTCTGTCCGCCCCTTTGCCATAAGCACCACCTCACACCTCACCGCAGGGAAGGTGTCTGTTCAGCCCTGCTCTGGCGCCCGGATGAAGCCACGAAGACGGAGCTCAGAGGCGCTCAGAGGCACCGAGTCCTTCCTGGTCTGTCAGATGGCCAAGCCACCTACCTCCGTCCAGCTGAGCCGGCTGTGCCAACCGAATCCTCCCGCCTCTCAGGGCTCTGGGGCGCTGACTTTTAGAGCATCTCTCAGGGGCTGAGTCTTTTCTAGGCCAGGTCAGAGGGGAAGCGCAGACACGTCAAAGGAGAGAGAGAGAGAGAGAGAGAGAGAGAGAGAGAGAGAGAGAGAGAGAGCCCGAGGGAGAAAAAAGTCGAGGGGGGGGCTTAAGGGTGAGGAAGAGAGGGCGGTGCAAGTCACAGCAGTCCCAACACCTTTATCTCCTCAGCAGCTTCCAAGGTCTCTTTGGCCAGAAGCGGAAACGTGGTTTCTCTCAAAAGCAAAGGAAGAGAGGAAGAAAGCGGGAGAAATACAAAGAGCAAACCCCGGCCAGATGTGAGCTGCCGAGGAGCCTAGAACGCTCCTAGCGCTTTTTATCCAAACAGCAGCCAGCAGCCGTAGAGGATTAACTGTGTGTGTGCCCGGCTGGCTGGCTGGCGCTCCCTCCTTCTGGACACCCTGGGAGCTAGCGCAGGCTTGGAGGGGTTGGAGATGGACACTGCTGTTTATCCAGAGGTCTTTCCAGATGTGGAGGTGGCTGGGAGCCCAGGACAAGGGTGCTCTACTCAGGATAGAGAACTGCAGGAAAGCTAAGAGCCTTAAGTTAACTGGTGGTTAGGGAGCTGACTTAAGCATGTGGGCAAGCCTGAGTCAAACAGTGGCCTGTCTGCGGCAAACTTCCCAGCAGGATGTCTACTTGCGATCTGGGGACCAATGGGTAGGTCTGAGAACATCCATAGTCCCCTTTGTAAAAGAATGGCAGGTTTTGTGTTCATGCAAGTATGAATTGAGAGGGGATGGCTCCATCGTTAAGTGCAGGATCTAGAGAACTCTGGGAGGCAAAAGTGAGCGAGCAGCCTTCAGAAGGTTCAGATCCTCCAGTGAAGCCCCAGACTGAGTTCTGGGCCAGTTGCTTGCTCAGCCTCTGCTAGGCAGCTCTGCTCTGGACATTTCTTAATCTTACACACATGCCCTCGTGAGTCTCCTCCCGTGGGGATCCTGCCCCAGGCTTCTTCAGAGAAGTCCCTCCTATTTTCCCTTTTTTCCCTGCCCAAACCCTGAGTCAGAAGACTTGCTCTGCAGTCTTATCACAACCCATAAGAGAGAGGGTCTGGATGGAGAAACTGCCCTGATGACATCGCGCGCTCTCTCTCCTTCCCCCATCCCTCCCTTCCTCCCTCCTCTCTATGAACAGAAGATGTAAAATTAGAGATGCTAGTTTGGGATATCCCAGGCAAAATAAACAGACTACACTTTCCTATTCTTTGCTGTGCCAGCATGAAGCAGGGCCGACAGAATCCAAGGCGGGAGGGAGGAGAGTGCGAACCCAGTACCGCACCCCCCCATCATCTCACCCCAAGGCAGGATATAGATCAGTAGAGGGCAGATCCCAGAATGGGCAGGGACGGATGGAAGGACAAGAGGGCGGATTCTAATGGTAGGGAGCAGCCTGTGAATTCCCACAGGCTTCTCCAGAAATTCCAAACCCAAATGCCAACCCCATGAGAAGGAGAGATGTCGCTGAGCTCCTCTGGTACCCACGGGGGTGGGGGAGGGGCACTTAAGGGCGCTGGCTCGTTGAGAATAAGTAGATGTGTTCCCATCAGAGATGTGACCTGCCCTGACCTAGCAAGATGGTTCCTGTTGCTCTGCATGTATCTTAGCTGAGGGAAAGCACAGGAATAAGACTCTCATTCCTGGGAGTGGTGTGAAGCTCTCCCACCCAGAACATCACTGTCCTCTGTCACTCTGTTCCCTACATCCTTTGCCATAGAGCTGCAGGGTGAGCAGTCAGCAGAAGCAGAAAGAGCACTTAACCCTTGCTAGGCTGCTGCAGGGACAACAGAGAGCCTTGAGTGTCTTGTGAGGTTGGGTGTCCCAATGCAGCTCGCAAGGTCCTACCCAGAAGGCTCAATTCAAGGAAGGTCACAGCAGGGCTCCTAAAGCGGGGCATGTGACTCGGGAGGGGAAGATGTGGAGGCAGAGGAGTTGCCCTCACCGCACACATCCAAGATGGCAACACTCTAATGAACTTCTGAGATAGCCAAAAACAGTAGAAAGTTCTAGAAACACACCAGAAGACAGGCATTACTAAGTTTCGGTCAAACTCAGGGGAGACCATGGTTTCAGATCTTTTTCTGGTTTCATGTCAGCCAGAGATACATCGTGAGACACCATCTCAATAAATAAGTAAACAAACAAGCAGAATTACTTGTGAGTGTGTGTGTGTGTGTGTGTGTGTATGTGCATGCATATACATACCACAGTGTACACGTGGAGGTCAGAGTGTCTTCTTGCAGGAATTATTTCCCTCTTTACACCATGTGGGTCCCAGGGACCATATTCAAGTCATCAGGCTTGGTAGCAAGTGCCTGTATTCCCACTGAGCCAGCTCAGCTGTCCCGTGTTTTGTTCTTCTGTGTGTTTGTTTTGCTATGTAGTCTACGCTGACATGTAACTAATGTATTTACTCTTTCTCTCTAAGTTTGTGTGTGTGCACGTGAGTGTTCATGTGTGTGAGCATGGGTGTGGAGGTCACAGGAAGACCTTGAATCTTGGTCTGCAGTCTCACTATTTTTGGAACCCATCAAGTAGGCAAACCTGAATGACCAGCAAGTCCTAACTCTGCCTGTCTCCGCCTCCCCAGCACCGGGATTATAAACCCTTTGCCACATGTTTTTTGTTTGTTTGTTTGTTTGTTTTGTTTGTTTGTTTGGTTTTGTTTTTCTAACATGGATTCTGGACTGGAACTTGGGTCTTGATGCTTGCAAAGAAGCACTTAGCAGCTAAGTCCCCCTTCTTCTTTCTGGTTTTCTTTTGGTGACAGAACCTCACTCAGTAAACCAGGATGGCTTCCAACTAATAGCCATCCCTCTGCCTCAGCCTCCCAGTTGCTGGAATTACATATGTGCACCACTATGCCTGCTGTATTTGGGGACGTTTGGATAAGCATCCCTACACCTGAAGGATCTCACACGTTTAACAGAAAGGTTGGTGACGTGGATGGAAAGTGCTAGAATACCCAGGAGAGCTACTAGTATTGCATAACCTCTCGCCTTCCAGACTCTTAGGTTGAGCCCCACGTCTTCCAAAACATCTAGAAGCGGCTTATTCATTTTCTTTGAGGTGGAAGCTGGGAGAGGAGGAGCATTGTACCAAACACCACAAAGGGAACCTGTGGCTTCCCATGAGGCCTAAAAGCCAGAAGGCTCAGGGGAATTCCAAGGGATGGGAACAGAGATGGAGTTGTGTCTGAAGGCTGTCACAACTGGCAACCCAACCCAATAGGCCAACAGACAAAGGGGACTCACAAGGCCAGGCCCAAGGGCCAACGCACGCCACTGTACTAGAAGAAACAAAATGTGTCACTGAGCTGGACAGCTTGCTAGGCTCCTAAAGCCCCTTGTCATCAACTTCATTTCTGCTTTGAAGCTGTAAGAAAGACAGGAAGTTTGGCAAGACAGGGAACGCTTTGCAGATTTCCTGGTCTCCCTCCATCCCTGCCACAAACACTCCAAGCAACCAGAACCTGAATGTTTTCCACATAGCCAAAGCCGTCCCTCCAGAGTTAAGGCAAGGGTCATGGTGAACCACACTAACAACCTAATAAATGAAGCCCAAGTCAGCAGCAGGGCTGTGGTCAGCAGCTCCTGGGTCAGAGGTCATCAGCCCTGAGTAGATGGGACAGACATCAGACCAAGCACTCCTCCAGGATCTCCCTGTCAAGTTCCCAAATGAGCTGTATGCTGCTTCTGCCCTGAATTCCATGGGGGCTGCACCTACCCAAGGGTGTCTGGGATAAACCTTCAAAGGCTTCCTCCATATTCTCAAGTGGCTATCTTTCTTAGATCAGGGCAGCTCTTGTGAGAAGGACTTGAGGGTCACTGGAGGGTCTCCTGCAGCCCACCGTGGAGGGCACACTCTGAGCCCTGACATATTGTAGTGCTAAGTATATATGTGTGTGTGTGTGTGTGTGTGTGTGTGTATACACAAGTGACATATATATGCGAGTGTATATGTGGTACATCTGGTGTTTTTTTGGTTTGTGTCTATGAGTGTGTGTACCTCTGTGTGTGTGTGTGTGTGTGTGTGTGTGTGTGTGTGTGTGTGTGTGTATCCAGATGGGCAGAGGCTGGAGGGGGATGTTGGTCACTTTCCACCTGATTTCCTTTAAAAACTCAGTCCCCATGCTTGTCCAGCAGGTGCTGTGGTCCTCCCCCCACCCCATGCTTTGAGCCATTCGCCAGCATTCCCCAGCCCGGTTGGCTGTTTGACTATTCTTTTCTCCTCCCTGGCCATGCCATCCCTGTCGCTGTTTTCTGGTTGCTGGAAAGGGCTGTGAGGCCTGGGTTACAGTAGAGGCAGCACTGGGTTCCCGATATAAGCACAGCATGTCATTAGCAGCTCCATGGCGTCTCCCACTGGGGCCCTAACATCCTGCCAAACCAGCTATTCTGGGCCTGTCTGCCCGGCTATCCCACAGGCAAAGGCTGGTTTTGCAGACTTTCGAATTCCATTCCAAAGGGTAGTGCGACAGGCAGGCTCCCATTGGTGGTGTCCCACTGCCAAGAGGCGGGTGGGGGAGCCTCTCAGAGATCCGCAGAAGTTGCTGAGATGGGAAAGGAAACCTGGCACCCGGGCCCACTCCTGGACACTGGCCCGAGCTCGTGGCTCCCGCCTAGCGCCGACTGTATTCTGGGAGGCTTGGGCAGGTGGAACTCAAGATTAGCAGCTGCATGGACAGGCCGGACACGTGGCTTGTACAGGACTCACAGCTGGAAGAAATCAAATATAAGGGTTGTCCCTCTCCAAGGTCAGCACACTCCTCCTGGGGCCATTCACGTGCTTCTCGACTTTCGTTCAGACGTTTAACCTCTCCATGCCTCAGTTTCTCCCTCTCTTACAAGCTTCCTCTGTTTTGGTAATACACGTTTTCAATTAACGCAGAGGCAAAGTGTGAACCTGAGGCAATAGTTTACCAGATAAATAAAGTGAGAGCGCCCCCTGGTGGAAGACACAATCCAAGCACTTAACTAAAAGGAGCCGTGAGAGAATTAAAGACTGGGAGAGAAGGATGAGTCGCCTTTTATGCGGAGCCACAGGGACCAAAGCACTCTCTGGAAGGAGGTGTGCAGGTGCAGGAAAAGCCCTGAGTGAGTGACGGCCTGAGGGAACGGACATGCCTTGCTCACATGGGCATGACCACATCTAGAACCCTAACGCCTCCGGCCCAGGAGTGTAACTCAGAGGGAGTGCAGCGACTTCCTTGGGGTCAAAGCACAAGCAATTGACCAGCGTGCACAGAAACTAGCAACGGTTGCATCCTCCTACCGGGTGTTTGAAGCCTGGACTGCTAGCAGACCCCTCCTAGGAGACCAGCTAACTCCTGCCCCTGGGCTGCACATGCCAGCCTGGGGCTGTTGCAGAAGCTGATTCCCCTTCAGAGAGTGCACAGCCCAGGTGAGGTCAGCTTTTCTGTACGTGTGTCTCGTGTC